ATCCATGCATCGAGACACTGTTCAGACGGAAGCTCTGTCGCCACCGCCCTCCTCAGGGAAGAGGCCCCAGCCTGGTCCTCCCTCCCACCGGGCGCTAGAGGTCACAGCTTCTCTTCTGACAGGGCAGAAGGAAAACCAGAACCAACCGCATCATCCCAGTTTCTCCCCTTTAGTCCCACGAGTCAGACACGGCCTACAAGCGTGGTTCCCACAGCCGCACCTCACAGCGCGCGTGCGCAGTTTCCGGGAGTCGCTGCCCCTAGCTGGGCCCTAGAGCCGTGAGCACCTGCTGACTTCCCGGAAGACGACCACTGCCCACCCGGGTAACCACCCAAGAGGTTTTGGTGTATTTTTTTGGGGTTTTTCTGTTTCATTTTTAGAGATACACTCTAACTATGTAGTTCAGACTGGCTTTGAATGCATAACAATCCTCCTGCCTCAGCCTCCTGAGTGCTGGGATTATAGCTGGCCATCACCACCATACCTGTCTTTGAAAAAAAAAATTAAATCACATTCATAAATACCTCATGGGTCACTCAGCTTCCCTAGGCCACTCGCAGAGTCCCAGGCCCCAAGAGTACCCAAACAGAGCACATGATGGAGCGCACAGACATTGCCAATAGTGCGGCCACAACCCGCTGAGACATGCTGGCCGCAGCAGCGGGTGCCTGCCTTAAAATGCGTGGTTATTGGGCACCCTCCGGGCCAGGCCTCACTGGACCCTGCCCAGCCCTGCCCTCTCCTGGGAGACTCCCACTGAAGTTAATTCCGGCCAGAACAGGCAGGGTAGATGACCACTGGCATCCCAGAATCACACAGATCTGTATTTCACCTAGACCCTTTGTCTCTGTGTGATCGTGAACAACTAGCAACCTAGATAAGCCTCAGTTTCCTCACTGAGAAAAAACTTTGAGAAAGATTTTTATGAGCATTACATAAAATGCTTAGCAACTGGCACACTTGCTTAATAAACACTACTACCCCTTCTTACCGAAGACCACGGTGATATCTTTCTTTAAATTCTGAAACCATTCCTTTCCTGTGAATCTTACGTTAGCCATCTCCCAACCTGTACATTCAGCAGTGTTTCCTATTTCCTTATCCAAACCAGGTCCCCTTTTTTCCAGATGAGAAGTACAAGCCTAGGTCTGAGCACAACAGTTAGCAGATGAATTTGGTGTCTAATAAGTAAAAGCCACAAATAACACTATTATCTTACACAGAGACAACCCTGAAAGCTCTGCATAAACAGTGCATGCAGCAAATATTTGCTAACTCAAGGAACATGACAAACCCAGTATGAATCCCAGCTGTTAGCGATGGACACTAGCAAAGGGAAATCTTTAGCTGAATGGTGCCTGTGATCCAATAATTCTGAAGAATACCAGGAACTGAAGAGTTGTGTGAAAACAAAAACAAGGCAAGGATTTGGGTTCTTTTCAATGAAATAAACAATAGGCCATCAAACCCAGTGTTGACTGGGTTAATTTTGGTGCAAGATACTGGTGTGAAAATGAACATTTACATGAATGGAGTGGGGGAGGGATGGGGTGGGGGATGGGTGCTGTGTCAAGAAAGAATGAGGGGCAGAGATCAGAATTAGAAATGGATCTGGAAATCTGAAATTCAGGGATCTTGGGGGATCCAGGGATCTCCCACGGCCATGGCTGGGAGGTAGTTTCAGTTTCCAAGAAAGCACGGGGAACAAAGGAGGAGCTTTAGGGTTCTTCTTACTCCTTTCCTGAATTCTGAAACACCAAGGAGCCAGGTATGAAGAACGAGGCTCAAAGGGAAGCAGCAGCACACAGTGACCCCGGGGACATCTCTTCTGTGACACAAACTAACACGACAAGGAAAAGCAGGGGAGACCCTGAGCCGGGTTGTGAGCGCGAGCCTGTGAGGGGGCCCGCCCGTTGGGAAGCATCCTGGCTGGGGTTCAGGCTGTAGGGGATCTCGGCCGGCGTGAGCGACAGGGTCCCTGTGCATCCCGGCCTTCTAAGGTCTCTGCACAGACTGCAGCCCACAGGAGAGACAGTGGAAGGTGGCTCCACACACACTTATGAACGAGGCCTTGTTTAAATGAGAGACACAGAGTTAAAAAGGAGAAGGGCAGACCACGAAGTGGAGAAGCTATCGTGTCTTAGGTGACGAGGAAGTCACGCAGGGCCTCATAGCACACACTGTCAGGATGTGTCATTGTTCCCCTGCTCGTGTGTGGTGCTGGAGATGAACTGAAGGGCTTTGCCTTGTGTGACATCCTCAACCCTTTTTAAATTTTTTAAGAAAGAGTCATGCTGGGGCCCGGGATTTAGCTCAGCGGTTCTGCCGCCTGCCTCTGAAGCCCAAGGACCCAAGTTCGATCCCCAGTACCAAAAAATAAAAAAAAAGAGTCACGCTAAGTCACTACTTGTGATTCTCCTGCCTCAGCCTCTCAGAGTACAGAGATCTTCTGCTCTTTAAAAATGCCTTTTGTTTGGCCATTTCTGTGGTAAAGATGGCGTCAATCCACAGCACTGTACCAGAAGTGTTTTTCAAACTGAGGTCATGAAATCAAAGGTGTCCCTTCAAGCTTTTAACGAATGAAGGAAATAGGAAACAATACTAAGAGTGCTCTTTCTTCTGCCTCGGTTACATATGTTTGCACGCGTAAGATACGCAGCAACATTCTGTTGATTTTCTGGGTACCAGGTTTTGAAAGACTTGAAAAATGACAACAGAGAAAGCAGCTGGGGCTCCCTTGGTGAGACGAGAGCCTGCGTGAGTGGACCCCTGAGCTCCTTCGGCAGGGAGAGCAGTTCGGGTGGAAGTCCGGCAGGGCTGCAGGCTCACAACCACACTTCTCCGAACCTCACTTCCATAGTCTGCTAGCCCGCTGAGAAGAACACTCATCTTCCCTCATTACAATAAAATGCCATTTCAGGACTGTTTTATACAGCATCGTGGTGATCATGGTTTACACAGCAGAAAAAAATCTGATCTGTTTCTTATTTCTGGTCCTGACAGCGCTGACTGTGCCTTTACACTTCCTGTTATATAAAACGGGAGGTTCAGAAGAACAGAGGGCTGGAGCTTCCATTTTTAAAAAATGTATTGCTTTGGCTTAGTGAAAGACAATCACTTTTCTCTCCATTTTTCTGCTTGGATCACGGGCTAAGAATGAAACCTCACTGCCCGGCTTGTAGGAAGGGATCTGAGTTACACCTGGAACATGATGCCCTGCTGGGAAGGAAGAGCCCCTTGGATGCCGGCCTAAAAGTTCATTCAACCCGCAGTCCCCGCACAGCACCCATCAGTCGGTGATCAGCGGGGATCACTGCCCAGTGTCCCAGGGGTGCTCCTCCCTTCCTGTCTCACTGCCCCATCTACCTACTGTGAAATGCAGGGCCAGGCCGCGGCCTAGGGAGCACAGACGGGGACGTCACAGGAGAACCACCCTGCACAGACTCCCGTTTCCAGCTGTTGTCTGGGCCTCCTTCAGAGAACACCAGGCTGAGTTTCCCCGCCTCACTCAAGTCATCTTGTCGGGAAGGAAAGACTCCTTTGGCAAGGTCAGCTCTAAGGCTTCCAGAAAGAAACACAGTCAGCTGTGACCGGCAGGGAGCGGCCCAGGGCCTGGCTGGGCACTTCCTCAGTCAGTTTCTCCGGTCCTGGCGGCCCCTTCCAGGCTGCCAGACATCCGTGCGTGGTGAGGAGGCTGCGCCCTCCCTAGGTCCGCTCACTTTGTGCCCTAACTCGTGGAAACCCTCGGAAAGAGAGGCCACAGGTGGGTGGCCATCCAAGCACCGAGGGACCCGTGAGGGCCTGGTGGTGCCAAGCGGCCTTGCTCCCGGCAGCTCGGGTTCCTGAGCCCTGAGAGCACCAGACGGGGAGGAGGTGCACCTGGGGTGGGGGGACGAGGTCTGCGGTGACCAAAAAGGTTCGTGCAGAGACGGGTCAGGCTGGGCCTTCAACTAAGAACAAAGCGTTTGTAAGATAAGGGAAGCAAAGCTCCCTTCCCAAGGGAGAAGCAATGCACGGAAAGGCACACGATGTGTAGAAGACAGGCACAGGCACGAGTCAAGGGTGAGGATGGAATGCAGTCTTTGGCTCTGCATCTGACTGTCCTGATTTTATAAAAGGGCTGGCTCTCACCCAGCTCACAAGTGTGCGGTCACAAAGCACAGGTGACAGCCGGCTCCGCCCCGATGCCCACGGTGCCCCTGGCTCTTTTCCCCATCCATTCCCTCACGGTGACGGGGTCCCCTGCACTTCCCACTTCTCTTTTTCTAAGCTTCTGGAATGAGATCTGTCTCTTTCTTTTCTTTTTTAATGACAGATCTTGAAACTTGGTGAAGGCCCATCACAGGAGCCTTCTTATTGTGCTACACGATCCTTCAGTGGCAAAAATGAAACATGGGTCGATGAAAGTGTTACAAATGTGTCATCTCGTAGGACAGGGTCGCTGGGCGTGGTGGCGCACGCCTGTAATCCCAGCACACCAGAGGCTGAGGCAGGAGGATCACTTTGAGTTTGAGACCAGCCTGGGCTACATAGTGAGTTCCAGGCCAGTCTCAACTACATAGTGAGACCCTGTCTCAAAAAAAGAAAACTAAAACAAAAACAAAATCATATGACAGGGTGATCAGCCATACGCAGTGTTTTAGACAGAGGTTTACGGCTGTGTGGCCTCCGGAGGGACACTGGGCACCCTATGTTGGTAAGACTCATAGCTGGTTTTCAGATCGCCACTGACCGTTGGCATCATTTTCTAATTCTTTAAACTGGAAGCGACATCTTTTTAAAATAGAGGGAGTTGGGAGAGTCCCAAACTCCCTCTGTCATACAAGAAGATATGGCTCCTGATAAACACTTTGTACCCAGCTCAGTTTTCTCCGCAACCTGTGACCCAGGGAGTAATGAAGACCGACAGGGAGGGCTCCTGGGGCCGCTGTCCCTGGTGTCAGCACTGTTCCTGGCCCCTTTCCCCTCAGAGACCCCACGGGAGGAGTGGCCCCTCTTACCTCGTTCTCCTGGGGTCCCCGGCAAGCCTGCGTTTCCTGGAAAGCCTGGGGCACCGGGGGGCCCTTGTTCTCCGGGGGTTCCAGGAGAGCCAGGCCGTCCGGGCTCCCCAGGAGGCCCCTGGACAGTCCGCGTGGACGAAGAGTGGCTGGGGATCTGGTTGAGGACAGCGGCGTACCTGGCCATGTGATCTGTGACAAGAAGCACAGGGGTGGCACTGGGTGAACAGTCACAGACCCAGGGAGGACCGGGGGTCGCTCCTCAAGGCACCCGACCAGCTGTCCCATCTCCAGCAAACAGAGAGCACGCCCCTCTGAAATATGATGATCTCCAACTTCGAATTTTCTATATTTCACTGTGGATGAGGTGATGGCTGGAACCTATTCAAGGCCCCTCTCATGGGCTTGGAATTCCGTGGCTCACGGCAGCAGCGTAATAACCCTCACTGAGCAGAAGTCACAAATTTCATGTTCACCCCAACGTCTATGTGACCCCTCACCCTGTCCCAGCCACCCTTTCCTCCAAGTCGTCTGTCTCTTTCCCAGCATGCTAAGCAGGCTCCTCCTACCCCAGGCTGCCCTCTTGTCCGCTCCTTCTCCACCAGACCTTTGCTTTCAGGGACCCTGGCGGTACTCGGGGTCCCAGCTGCAGAAACTCCCACCGGCTTTGTGAAACAGATCAGCCTGGAGCACTTTTTCATAACCCTTCACCCAGTTAGGCCAGGGAGGATGTGTTTTAATCACTGGGAGGACAGAGTTAGACAGCCCTGGGGATCAGAATGCCTCACTCAGCACGATCAGGAGACTCTTAGGTTCGTGAATTTTCTAGATCACTATCATTGATCCTTTTGCACATAGTTCCATCTAGGTTTAAAAGAAAAAAAAGAGAGTAACCACTCTTTGAGGAAGTTCTGTAAAACACATGCAACGCCTTCTCTCCTCAAGCGTCAGCCCCTGACAGTGGGGACCCTCTTCGATGACAGGGCTGTCTGACGGGTGAGACATTTCATAGCGGCCTTTCCAAGTCCTCCTCTGTGCTGCTGCCAGCTCTCGTCACCCAGGCCTTCCTTGCACAGTTTCCCACGTAACTCAGCATAACTCTTCCGATCAAGGGAGAGCTAAACAGCAGATGGCTGAGATTGTAGAGTCCTAAATGGAGCCATAAATCAAGTTCCAAGTGGGGGCTTACGGGGTAAAAGAAGGGGGCCCAGGGAAACCGAGGCACAGTTTAGAAGGACAATGGCCGCGTTGCCAGCGGTGTGGCCCCGAGTGGGCTGGGACAGGCTGTTCAGCTGCCTTTTCTCCCATCGCACTGAGGCCCAGGGCTCCCTACTTTACAGATGGCTTGGTGACCCCCCATTGTTCTGACTCCCCACCTGTGCTTTCTAGAAGGCATTTGTGAGATTCCGAGGTTTCCAGAGAGGGGAATCAATTTCGAACTCTCAGATTTGAGGGCATGTTTTAAATAATCATAGATCTAAGCAAAATTTTCATCCTGCAGTAGAACAAACCAGCAAATACCGTGAAATCTCCCTCCTGCGTGGTCACTGAGTTCTATGAAGTTTTAACCCTGTTTTCATACAATAGCGATCCACCATTTACACTGCACACTGAACTAAAAACCCTATGAAATAATTCAGGCTGTAAATTAGCTTTGGGCGCATTCTAGATCCAGAGTGACCGAACTTCAGTTTCCTCTTATCATTTACTATTTCTTAAGACCTTATTTATTTTGGCATTGAACTTTTCATTTAATTGGTAAATTCTCTCTCCCAACATATTTAACTTGAGCATTATAACATAAAATTAAATTGAAAGCATAAGGAGCAAGGCGACAGGGTCTGAAGACAGCATCTTTGTCCCCATTCGCCCTGACACTTAGGTCTTCACAGCTCCCCAGAGAGGTCTGGGTCTGTGGCAGAACTACAGGGGGATTCCGAGCCACCACCTTCCGGGACACCCGCGGGGCGCCTCTGGCCTAACTTCCCAGCTCCCCTGGGTTGAATCGGTCTGACCCTGAAGCTGAGGAGGCTGTCACTCTGAGAGGTGGAGAGAAAGTGGCGTAGGGAGATGGGACAGGACACTGGCTGGAGCCGGGCGGGTCTGAGATGAGTACTTTGTCTGTATCCAGCCTCAGATCTGGAACCGTGAACAAAGTACTGGAAAACAGAAGGCCTGCCCTAGCAGCCCTCAGTTTTGTCTGACAGTCAGCGGGCAGAGCAGGCGGGTGAGAGGGGAAAGTGTATAAAGGAACGGCCTGGGCCAGACACTGAAACTCAGCACAGACCGAACATTCAAGTGCAAAGTGAAGAAAGAACACAGGACGAGAGCACACGTGTTCTGGTGTGATTTCTGGCACAAAAGCCAAGTGTCACATCCACCCTGACACTGTGTGCGTGAGTGTGACTGAAACCTAACAACCAAAGGAAGGCCGCTGGGCTACCCAAAAGACGGCAGACATAAGTGGACGGACAGAAAGGAAGGGAGCGGTGCAACTCAGACAGCCAAGTCAAACCCACACGGTTTGCCTGCCGACTAAGGACACGGGTTCGGTGTGTGCCAGCCATGGACAATCGGGAAGGCTCTTTAGGTGGAGTGGGACAGCATCTGTAGAGCTGAATCAAGATGCCTTGGTTGGTGTGGTGACGGCCAAGGACAGCTCCCACTGGCCGGGACCCCGAAGGCCCTCGGTACCCACAGTGCACTTACTCTGGATGAGCTGCTCACACACTTGCCGTGCCACTGCCCTCACCATGGCTTGAGACTGCAGGTCGCCCTGGTGAGGAAAGGCAAGGTTCAGACACAGCTGCACGTGCGCGCGCACACACACACACACACACACACACACACCGCCAGGACTCCGCACAAGGCCACTTTGACCCAAGGCCCCCATCAGGCTCTGTGTCTGGAAACAAGGAGGGCAGCGGCCCACACAGGGCAGCCGGTTTGCACTTGGGCCTCAACCTCCTCAGAATCCTCGTTAGATTCAAAAGCTCGGGGAGACGCCTTGGCCCCAGACTCTAACAACATTCTAGTTCTGAAATCACTCCATATATGTTTAACATCTTACTGACAACTTCTTTAGAGTTTATTCGCTCATTTAATACGGATCACAAATCAGAGAAAAGAAGCTAAACCGGGCTCACTGCTGGGGCAGCGTCAGACACATCACCCAGCTGCCCAGAAGCTGGTGGGTGCTAAAGCCAGTGCTGTGTCTACTCCGGCCGATCGCCCTGTGCCAGCAGCTGCCCAGTTTCTGAAAGGAGAGAGCAGGGCCCTCAAAGGAGCTGACTCAACTTTGGCGCCAGTTCTCTGACTCTGTGTCTGCCACTGTCTTCCTGGTGCCAATACTGGGCCCTCCTGGAAGAACAGGAGTCCGTGCTACTGCTTCGTGTCTGCAGAGCTGTCTCTTTAGCCGAAAGCCTTTCGCAGCCATGATGTAGCTTTCTTGTCAAATCCACTTCGTGAGGGAGATGAGTTATATTCTCCCTGTTTTCTCCTTAAAGAACTGAGCCCAGGGGCACAGAGCTGGGTGGTGGCAGATATGCAACGGAGACCAGGTCTCCTGCCCTCCCGCCCACAAGGATTCAGGGCTGCAGGGCTGCACAGGGTGGCCGCTGTGGGCTTGGGCATCTCAGCTGCTGTGCGTGCCCAGCCGACGGCAGGTGGAGACTTACTCGTTCGCCTCTCTCTCCCTTGGCTCCAGGGACGCCCTGTAAAGACGAAAACCATTGTCCAGTTACTAACGGTGCTGCACTCAGCTCAAGAGTGATGCTAGTGCCCCTTCCTCCTGGGACTAGCACACTTTTCCTGACTTTGGTACAAACAGCTGTGCAACGACAGGAATGGATCAGACAGCCATCTCATCAGCATGCACCGCTCTATTAAACATCTTACCCTTCAGCCTGTGGATGCAGAAGGGTAGGATTTTAAGCTATGAAACTGGGACCAGGCAGCAGTACTGTTTGATAATGCAGTGTCACTGAATAGGCTTCAGTCCTGCCTATTCTTCTACACCAAATGCCACACTGTGGACAGAACTCTATGGACGGATGTTTCACAGGGAATTTCATGACTCTCTTCTGAATAGCTACATTACTTCAATTTTAAAGAGACTATTAAAGGAAATAGAAGAACTCCTCTTACGGAAATCCCACACCCATCTTTCTCCTGGGCGTGATGGACCATGATTCTCCTGAGTTCCCCATAATATGGGGCTCATAAGTGCGTGAATTCTCAGCAGAATTGTTATTTCATTATCCTGGACCCATAAAAAACTATTATTGTGAACATTTTCCTGAATAAAACAATGGCGTTTTTGGTGTTTCTGCAATAAAATGAGACACATAATGCAAAACAGGTGTCTTCAGAAAGATGTCATATTTTTGTTTCAACTCGGGCAATGTCGTAAACGCCCCTAAAAGCAGTGGGTTCCCAGGTGGAGCACACCACTCTGTCGGCTGTCCCCACCGTTGCTTCAGCCTCAGCAGGTCCCAAACCCAACTGGGCATGGTTTCCAAAGTCTCTGTTTGGTTAGCAATTCCCCAAATGCAAACTTCTGAGCTCGTTCCGCAGTGTCCAGAGAAAGAAAATGCCCCTCCGTGTGTGTGCATGTAAATTTAGGAGGCGGAGATGCTTCTATCACTGCTGATTTCAATCTACCAATGTGCTGTCGTGGAAGTGGGAGCTGAAAAAGAACACACAGTGGGTCCCCTCACAGATGGTGGAGACGCTGCCGCCTCCTCCCCACCCCCATGTCTATCACGCACACCAGCACACCTGCACACACACCCGCACGCACGCACGCACACAGGTGCCGCCCTTTCCATCTCACACCAGGCTATTTGCAGCACTTTTCTAAAGCTCTCCCTTTGCCCCCACATGATTATTTTCAGTTTCTACAACTTGCCAATTTGTGTTTCATTTCAGCTACCCTCGTTGAAAAAAAGAGACAGAAGAAAAACACTCAAAATATACTGCTGTGAGTTTGTAAGGTGCGAGGGAAAAATGCCGATTCTGCATTAAAAAAAGCAAAACTTACTGTCAATCATGGCCTTTTTGCAAAGGTAAGAGAGAGGTACACGGCACTGTCCCCGCACCAGCTCGGACTGCTTTTGGAGATGAATGTACTGGCCATGCTCTCTCCCCTTAGCCTTAGGGCTTCACACAGGGACATGGCCCGGAAGAGACAGCAGTGCCGAGCTCCAACGTGAGAGAAGAGCTGCTTATGTTACCACCAAAGAAATCCTTCTCAGGCAGGAGATGCAAGACAATCCAAAGCTCAGCACACAAAATTAAACGTTCCACAATTTTTGATTTTAAGAAAGCATAAATTCTAGTAATTAATGCTTACACTGGTTTTCCCATCTCCCACCCATGTTCTGGGTTCTTTAATGTGGTGCCTCCCTTAACAGTGTAACTGTCTTGTAAGATGACTCCCTGAATCCTTGTTACACTTCCACAAGATGAACTCGTGTGTCCTCATAACCACCCAATGCAAGTATTTCTGTTTTATGGATTAGGAGAAGGACGCATTGGAAAAGTTGTGCCTATGGTCACACAATAAGGATCTGGGCAAGCCCAGACGGTGGGCCCTGAATCCACGCCCTTTAAGCTCACGCTGCTCAACATATCTGCCAGTTCCTGTTTCCCAGTCCAGCGCAGACAGACGCTTCCTAATTAAAACAGGGCTGGGGATGTAGCTCAGTGGTGCCACACCTGCCAAGTTCAATCCCCGGTACTGGGGAAAAACAAAAAACAAACAAACAAACAAACAAAAACCCACCAAAAAACACCATACCATGCTGCAAGGCTAATTCTAGTAACTCAGAATTAGTCCTTCACTTTGGTCGTATTTGAAATCCGTTTTTACCAAGAATATTTTTATTTCACTACCTAATACATCTTCTGACATTTCCATTCCTACCATTTATTATATTGGCCTGTTTGGGAATGTTTCAAACTTAGAGAAAGAGATTACAGTGCAAAGCTGACCGGCAGAGCAAACAGTCAGCTTCGCCTGGCAGCTCTGGGAAGGTGTAGATGGGGGTGTTGCGGGGGGAGGGCCCAAAACACCTCACGCTGTCTCATGATGCTCACTGCTAAGGACCAAAGGACAGCTGGGCAGGCGCAATGAAAGGTCTTTTTAGTGAAATATTGGTTCAGCGAGAAGTTATTTTTTTATTCCAAATTCCCTAACATCTTTCCTTTGATTTTTGCACAGAAAAAACAAAATAAAAATTCCTGAGCAAGAGAAGGCCCTTAACTCTACCAAAGTACACTTTGAGGGAAAACACACAGACTCTGCAGATGCAGACAGGAAAAAGGGGAACGTTTTCCTATAATTTCAGGAACACTTGAAAAGTAAAGAAAAGAGGAAACAGTAACTACATTCACAGATCGGCAGAAGCTTACTGCTGAAAGGAAGAGCAACAATGCCACCGAGGAAGTCCCGCGTAGTACAGGTGGCTGTGAAACAGTGGCACAGCTCCCCAGGCTGGCGTCCAAGGAGCTCAAGGACCTGACCCTAATCCACAGGATAATCTGTTAGTGCCCCCGGAGCGCCCCTAACTAGAGCACAAACATGACCCTGTCCCTGCCCTGACTTAGGTCATAAGTGCTCTACATAGCAGGATGTGGAGCTGAGTCGTAGGAACACACACTAAGCGGGGTACAGTTCCTCTCCTCAGGTGACACAGACATCGACAGCTGGAAGGGCCAAGCAGGACAGCACGGCCACGATGCTTCACATCTAAAATGCTCCCCGAGGCCTCGCGTATGGAAAGCCGCTGGGCCTCGGGCCACTGCGCTCATCCGCGGTTCCTCCGTGTTCTCAGGAGGCAGGGCCTGGTTGGAGGTGGTCACCGGGGCGTGTCCTGGGAGGTGTGTTCTTGTCCCTGGCTCCTCCCTTCCATCGCTGCTTCCTGGCTGCCACCTTTCCCTCCACCCACGCCTCTCCACCATGCTGTTTCTGTCTTGGAGTCGGCCAGTCACGGACTGAAACCACGAGCGAAATACACCTCTCCTTCCTCGAGGTGGGGTATCAGGTCTTGTGTCCCAGCAATGAGAAAACCACTGACAGGGTGGCGCTGCACAGTCTTAAAGGAGGGCAGCCGGGGTGCACGAGGTGATGACAGGAGAAGGGAGCAACCCAGAAAGGCAGCAGGACAGCGCCCAAAGCAAAAAGGTGCAGGACAGTGTAGTATGACATGCACTGGGAGAGCTTTAAATAATTCGGGGTGGCTCCCCTCAAGTGGAGGACGATGACAGACCAAGTTGGAGGAGAAAGTAATGGCCGGTGGGGAAGGCCACGTGCACCACACTGAACTACGGGACTTGTCCTCTGGAGTGGGGACCAGGAAGGAGCCAGCAGGGGAGACAAACTAGGAGAAGCCCGGCAGACAGGGAATGGACCACGTGGGGCTTCCTGCGATGGTCCTGAAGGGAGAGGAGGAGGCCTGAAGTAGAGCTGCGGCGGCTGAGAGAGGCCACAGTGAGGAAATGCATTAAAGGCAGGAGGTACCCTGTGTTTGCTCCGTTCGTTTTTTCCCTCTTGTTGTTTTTTGTTTTTACACTCCTCACTCCATGTCTTAGTTACTGTCTCACTGCTGGGACAAAATACCCACAATTAAAGGAAGAAAGGTTTACTTCAGGTCAGTTTGCAGAGGTTTCAGTTCACAGTCAGCTGTCTCCATGGCAGAGGAGACACAGTCCATGCAAGGGAAGGCAGAAGGCAGTAAGCAACAGCAGAAGCGAGCCTGCCTTTTTGCTATTGTTGTTGTTGTTGTTTTGGTTTTTTTGAGACAGGGTCTCACTATGTAGTTGAGACTGACCTGGAACTCACTGTGTAGCCCAGGCTGGTCTCAAACTCACAGCGATCCTCCTGCCTCAGCCTCCCGAGTGCTGGGATTACAGGTGTGCACCACCACGCCCAGCCTCTGCCTTTCCTTTTTATTCCAGACTATAAACCTTTTGGCTGGTGCCACCCACACCAAGGGTGGGTTTTCTGTCTCTTCAGCAAATCCCTTCAGCCACACCTAAAACTATGCTAATCCTAATCAGTGGACTAATCTAACACCACACACCCTAGATTTGGTCAGCTCCAAAAAGCCCCACCTATGAGCACATAAGGCTCTGGGGGGACACCCAGATATTGGCCTCAACACTCAGTCATGCTCACTTTCTCTGACTTTGTGGGTAAGAATTCTGCTTGTGTCAAGACTGCATGGAAACACATCCTTCTGGAGCTGCTGCACGCACCTGCTCGGTCTCCCTCCCCCCTCCCTCCCCCTTTCCCCTCTCCTCTCCCCCGCTCCCCCTCTGCAACTTCCTCATCTTTCCTTTAACGCATTTCACACTTCCTGCAATCTTGTCATATAGCACCTACTCACTGCATATTTTAGAGCTGGGAATCTGATTTCTGAAAGGCTGGCTCAACACAAACTCCCCCAGCCGGGTGATGTCACATCAGGGTCACACCTACAACCCCAATATCCCCAATTCTGCTAGGGAGCTCTGCAGGTGATGCAGACAGGGCCTGTCTCCCTATGTAGGGGCAAGCTGAATACACGGCCCTGCTGCAAGCAGCCCCTTCCTTCCCGGCTCTCACGGTGCCCTTTCCTGCGCAGGGGTGACGTCTCCACTCAGGTAGGAAGTGGGACCCCTGCAGCAAGCAAGGCATTTTCTGAGGAGCTGCAACTGCGGGCAGAGAGCACATGCTTCTGGCGCCAGCCGCAGGAGGCACATGGCTGTTGCCAGTGGCACAGCCTGGCCCTCTCGGTCTCCTTCCCTCGCCTTCCTCCACAGATGTCTGTGGGAAATCAATCAAGGCCTCGGCTCTGTGCAGTGCATTCTATTTTCACAGACTCGCCAGCCTGGCAGCCAACAAGCCCGTGGGAGCTGGCAGCCCAGACACGGGAAAGCCCTGGCTGGCAGCTAAGGAACAACTGGCATCTGACGGGAAATCACAAGCCTGCCATAGTGTCCATACCCAGCACAGAGACCAAATGGCTTCTGCCTCGGATACAGGGCCCTGGGTGTCACCCTCCAGGGCCTTTTCCTGCTGATTTATAAGAAAAATAAATACAAGTGTTCTATTCGTAGGAAAATGTATGAGTATTTCTCTGTGCCCCACATCAGAGTCTAATCTGAGCCACAAAAGGCCAAGTGGGAGGCAAGATGGCGCCATGCTTGTGTATTCCACGAACTCGTCCCACTGAAACTCTCTCAGGCCCCAGAGCCTACTCTTCTCTCCTAGCCCTTAGCAGTTCCATCCCTCCTGCAATGGGATCAACCCCTGGCTCGCTCTTTCCTAGCTAAGGACAAGGAGAACGAGTTCTAAGAGACACCAGTGAGAACAAGATCTCCCCACGCACAAGTATCTTCACCGACTAACCAAGTGCAGCTAGCACCGGGGCACTTCATTGTTTCACTCTGGGACGTGCAAAGCCTCAGGTATCCTGACATCTCCATGACCTTCGTGGCTAAAGCCGAGGCTGAGGTGCCTCTGACACCTCTCTGACAACAGCTCCTTGGTCCCTAAGCCTGCTGATGTATTCTCCAACACTGGTTCCCAGGGGCACATTTTAGGAAGCAGACTACAGCCTTGTACTAGGAATGCGTTTTTAAGTCTCTTTCTGGTGTAGAATAGGCTGGAATGGAATGAATAGCTGTGCTAATGTGGAAAGGATCGTGGAGATGGGCAAGGCTGTGCGTGTCCGCATGTGTGTACGTGCACACGAGCCCTCACATGAGCATCAGTGTATGTTTGCACGTACAGAACCCTACTTGGTCATGTTTTTTGGATAGAAAAGAGATTTAAAACTGCTTTGAACGATGGAGTTGGAATCAGTACACTACGGCTTTGTAATGTGACTGCTAAGGTAGCGCTCAGTTACATGTACAAACGAGGGTGCATCTGCTAAGATCCAGGGGCACGACTTTGCACGACTGGGCACGACTGTGTGTCCAGGCGTGTGAGGTGGAGTCTAGAAAAGGCCTCTGAAGTGGATCTGAACAATAAGCAGCAAGAATGGTTGGGAAGAGAGAGGAAGGGTCTCTCTGAATGAGAACCAATGTTTCTGTTATATCTTACTCCTTATGTAGGCAGGGACAAAAGACTCCCCAGATGTCCACAACTAAGCCCCAGGCCCGTGACCCTGTCACTTTCTGTGGAAAAAGGGACTCTGCACATGTCACTTAGTCAAGGGCGATGAGACTATCCAGGGACATTACTTAAGGTGATCCTGGTAGGCCTCGTGGGATCGCACGGATCCTTAAAAAGCAAGAACCTTTTCCAGCTTCGGTCAGAGATCCGAGCAGGAAGGAGAGTGCAGCGCTGCTGGCTTGGAAAGGAAGTGGCCATGAGCCAAGGGCTGGGGGCCACATTTGGAAGCTGGAAAAGTCATGGATTAGGACCAGTGTGGCTCTGGCGACCTTGTCACGCCATGGCTTCTTTCCACAGCTGTGCAAACGGCCGGCTATTCAGTGGTTTCCTCACCATCTGCCCCGCTCCGCCACTGATCCAGCGTGTGCATCACCGAGGGGCTCCAAGGACTAACATGGGCGGTAATGAGCTCCGGGAACATGCTTTTGTTTGATATCAATCATGGTTTACAGGTGAACATATATATTTTCATGAGAAATCTAATCTTTCTGGTAAAATTTAGAAAAAGAAATCTATTCTCACTCGTTAAACCTTGAATTTCTCAAACCTTGTATGTTTCCCCTTGTGATAAGGTTTAACTAATACCCAACCAGGATACCCAGTCCTTGCAAAAATGATACTGAGTTTACGTAAGTTGATGTAAGCAAATACAGAATGCAGGTAATGAACACATATGTATAAGCAATAGCTGGCCATGATTTCATTAGTCATCTGACCTTAGCTATCACGTATACAGCCCATGTGAAATCCCTATCTCAGAAAGTCTTCGGTTCTCATTATGGAGTCCCACAGAATCCAACACTGAATTAACACTGCCGGCCAGTGCAGGCGCTGCTGGCCTCAGACACACGGAGAACAGAACCCTAGTGACCGTGCGTACTCACGGGAGGGCCCAGGGCGCCCTGCGGTCCCACGCTGCCTGTGACCCCGGGGACTCCGGGGGCTCCGGGGATGCCCTGAGAGAGGCAGGAGACAGAACACGGGTGAGGCCCACACACTCACCGAGACGGCCCCCAAGCGAAGTCCCTGTACACTGGGGAGAGCCTGCCCATCACCACCACTCAGGGTGATCCCCAGCCCCCAAAACGAGAGGGCTTCTTTTTTGAAAGTCAGCACACTCTTGTCCTGATTATGGTTCCTCCACACGCAAGCCTTATCTATGTCCAAATGCAGCACAGGTGGCCGAGTGGCTCGGAGAATAATCAAGCCACCTGTGCAGCTGAGTTTTAAAGGCTGCTGAGGATGAGTTTGGAGCAGAGGGAGGAGTCGAACCTTCACAGCCAAGGTGGCCGCCAAGGGAAGGTCTAGCAGAAGGGAATCTCTCGAAAGAAATGAATCACTCTTGGACCAGGAATTTAGGTCAGTGGTTCCAACGCCTGCCTCACAAGTGCAGGGTCCCAAGCTCAATCCCCGGTACAGAAACCGCTCTAAGGCAGCCCCCCCACCCCAGTTTCTGGAAATACTCACAATTGGCCCTGGGGGTCCTGGTGGGCCAGAGGAGCCGTCCTTTCCGGGAAACCCCTGGGGACAAAAAACACTGTGTCAACCATGTGGTCGCTTTTCCTGGCTCTCAGAACAGGCTCACCTGGATCCTGTCACTACCTGGGAGGTGAGTCTTGCTGCCTGCTCTACACTGCCAAGGAGTCACTGGGTGCAGCTGTTTCACCGGAACTCTTCTTGGCAAGACTTTTGTGTCTGTCGGCGCCAATTAAATCGCCCAGTGCAGGAATTGTTAAGTATAAGAAACGCCACTTACAAACGCAAATGGGAATTTGTTTTCAGAAAATGATTTTACTGAACTGAGCCCAACACATGAGAGACAGGACTGATTCCTGTTAATTAATGACCAGGCAAAAACACACATAGGTGTCTTTCCTGACACCGCAGGAGTTCTGAGCAGGGAATGCTGACACGGGGATCTCCGGGGCCTGGGGAACTGCCATGCCTGAAACCCTGGAGTCTGAGGAGAACGCGGGTCGAGGGGCAGCCTCCCGCCACAGTGGCAGTCTCCTCCCTGGTGGGGTTGCTGAGTATCTGCCACCGGGAGCTCACACACGACGCGTGTCTGCTTCCCACACCATATCAGAAGGATTGAAGGCAGAAAACAGATGGTGCTTTAACAAATGGACGTCTTCCTGGGTCACTGTGTGGTGTGTGTGTGTGTGTGTGTGTGTGTGTGTGTGTGTGTATGTGCACGTGCGTATGTGTGTGCGCATGTGGCAGTGTTTTTATTTGTTTTATTATATATTTTATTAAAAATATATAATAGGGCCGGGAATTTAGCTCAGTGGTTCTGCTGCCTGTTTCACAAGCACAAGGACTCGGGTTCGATCCCTGGAACAAAAAAAAAAAAAAAAAAAAATGCTGGAATGACTTCCTCTTAAATGGTCACGGTTTTCAATTGTGAACGCTGGACTTGCCAGTGGAGCCGACATGACAGTGCAACTTCAATCTCGAGTTTTACAGCAGGTCCCAAAAATTTTGTTCACAAGTCCCCTCCTGCTACAGGGACAGACACACCGGTCACTGTGAGATCCGTCCTCCACTGGACTCACGATTCCTTCTCAAACCGATTCAGACCTACCTCGCCCTGCCTTCTCGCTGCCCCTCACCTTATGCATGAAACTATCCTGTTGGGACGCACCCACATCCTCCTCCTGTCCCCCACAAGGTGTCAGATGCAGACAGGGAGAGCGAAGTGGCCTGCAGATGGGGCAGCAAGCCGCGTGGGCGAGACCCTGCCCTGTGCTCTCGGCTCCTGGATGTTAGCACCGTCACCCCAGAGCGGCCAACAGGCTGGGGTCCCTCACGGCCTGGTTTTGCTCTCCAGCCTGGACCCATGGCTTGGCCACATTCTCCCACCTCCTCACAGCTTAGAGCCACCAGCTCAGGCAGGGTCTGGCCAGCGGGAAGAGAGCAGTCACAGTGCCGGCTCAAAACCATTGCCTGGGTATGGTTTTCCACTTCCTTTTTCCCTTCTTCCTTCTTGAAGCAACTGAAGACACCACATGTTGAAGACAAGAGTTCCCAGACAGACAGACAGACAGACAGACACAGACAGACCACGTCCTGGCAACAGTGTGGAGTCCAGCCCTTTAGAGAATAGCCGAACGAGGAGAAGAAACCGTGAGCTATGATGACAGACTGGATTCTGTGGGGTCACTGCGGGTGAACCTAAAGCAGGCTGGGGACACCAAGGTTTCACAGAAAAGCATGCATTTAAGTCACCTGCTGGTGGCACACACTTGGAATCTCGGACACTCAGGAGGCTGAGCAGAGAGAGTCATTTGAGCCGGTTTGCGCAACTTAGAGAGATCCTGTCTCAAAATTAGAAACTACGAAGGGGTGGACACGCAGCTCCGTGGTAGGTACTTGTCCCCGGCATAGAAGGACCTGGGTTCGATTCCCAGGACCTAAATGCTAGTTGGATCCTGCTGAGGTTTAGGAGGAGACGTGGGTGATGAAGCCACAGAGTGTTGCTGCTGCAGTGGGATGGGCTTGTTCGTCTCTCACTCACCATGTGTTACCTTCTGTCTTGCTAAGACACAAGAGGACCACCCTCCTCAAATGCAGGCCCTCAACCCTGGACTCGTCAGCTTCCAGAACCATGATCCAAGGCACTTCTGTTCTTTGTAAATTACCACATCTTACTCCTTCTGCATTAGGAGCATGAAAGTACAAGCGCGGGCCCACTGCATTCACCTCCATCCTCACAAGCTGTTGCAGTCCCCCAGGCCCACCCACCTGGGCAATCAGGGGACTTTTTGTTTGGTTCTCTATTTCTTATTGTGTAGCCTAGGATGGCGTTGAATTTGGGATCCTCCTGCCTCAGCTTCTTAAGTGGAGAAGTTACAGGGCTGCAGGCAAGTCTTACACAGGGCAGGCTCGGGCCCTTTGCTCAGCCCTTCCTCCCAGGATGAACAGCAGCAGCAGATTTTCATACAGAAGCCACCATCCTGATGAAAAGAGCACTGTTGCAAAGCCTACATTTTAGAATGAAAATCACTGACAAACTCACTTTTGTGACTCAACTGTGATCAAAATTCACTGAATTTTTTTCAGACATGAACAGCTAAACTTGTCTTCTCCTTTCTAAAACTTTTCTGTAACTATAAAATTCCATTTCGCATCAGGGAGCCAACCTGAGAAAATGAGCATTTGTGAATTGAGCAACCTCATAAAAAGCAGAAATCCCTTAATTAAGAAATACAGAATGAATATCAGGGAGCAGAGACTTACTGGCAATCCTCTTAAGCCAACAAACATGTATTTCTGAGATGCACAAAATCAGCCACCCACAAACAGGAATCTTTTACAACACAAAGAGCCCCAAGCATCTTTCTTTTTATATTCTCACCTCAAAATATTAATACGTACCCACAGCCCACATTAAAAATAATTTTTGCTGTAAAAACTTGAGAGGACTTTTATAGTTTGGTTTTGAAAACGCTTGGCCCTGAGCAAATTATTAGGTCATGATTAGCTATGGTTTCCCTGCAAAACAAAACTAGTGTACGATTTACTCTCGAAATCACTAATACTCTAACAAACATTAAATGTACCTGTGGCTTAACTGGCAAAGCAAGGCTGTGTTTAAGTAAACATTTATTCATTTGCATTTGAAGTTTTCTTTTCCATACCCTGGAGCAAATGTACATCCTCCCCTCACAAGCTCTGCAATGGTTTTCTGTAGGCTCTTTCAAAGTCAGTACCCACAAGCTCTATGCCTATGGCCTCTAAAGGGTGAATCCTGCCTGCCCACAGCACCTGTGGTAACCGAAATGAGTCAGTCAGAAGCCAGAACTCATACGTGATGGGGATCTCAGAAACGGCACACAGAGCTGGTGATGGTGTCCACCAGCCGCAGCTCCTCTGAGGGCAGTGGCAGGGCTGACCACTAAGGTCCTTAGCACCTGGCATCTGAGGCATTGGTCCAAAGGAGTCAGGCTCCAGCCCGAAACACTTGTGGGACCCGGGTGCATAGCCTCAGCCCTGGGTGTGATGGAACCACTTGAGCTGGCCCGGATGGCAGTCGGGCCTCAGAGACAAGGCTGCTCTTGCAGCCCAGGGTTGAGACTGAGCAGCAAGGACCACAGCCTCAGCAGACACTGCCTGCACTGGAGACCAAGACCAGTCCCCTCGTGTGACAGCCTGCCGGGTCTCACTGGGGAAGTTTCGGGGACACGTACGTGCATGCAGTGAACATGTGTGTGCGGCATGTGTGCGCCCCTATAAATACACACACATTCTATGTTAATATGCACATATGTATATACAATTGAGTGGCTATGTATGTGTAATTGTGCATTTTAGTAAGCTGCAGTGATGAGTGCATACAATTAAAACAAAAACACCCAGAATATTCTATGAAGAAATCACTTTGGTGCTCAGCAGGCTTCTACAAGAGACAGTCTGCTTTTTCTGAAATCAAATTGTTTATCAGACTCATGCAGTCCTGAGTTCCACCTAAGACCTTCGGTACCTGGGTCTCCGAGAGTGGAGCCCAGGAATCTGTTTATTAAACAAAAGAAAACAGAGAACAAGCCGATGACACCAGTGGTAGAACTGCAGCTTTGCAGACACAGAAACACCGTATCCGGCCCGCCACTGGCATTTCAGCCATGCCTGTGCCCCATGGAAGTTACTGCGAAGTTAAGGACAGGAAACTAAACACCCGAGCGGCCATGCTCAGCTGTGAGCAGGCAAAGAGGTACAGTGGTTCACAGTATCATGTTTTCATGGATGAAGGTTCAATTCCAACTTCATCAGGGAAGTAACCCACGCTGGGTTCCGACCGCCCCAAAACGCAGGCGAGGTAGCTTCCAGGTTGGAACTCACTTACTAAATATCTCTTTGGGGGAAGATTCCCTCACAGTCACCGGCTCCCACGATGACCTTGGTTAACATCATTTCATGGCCAGAAAGGGTGTCAGAGCCAGGCAGGGGACTGCAGCCCGGCTCCGGCTCCTCCTGCCCATGAGTTCCTCCCGCTTTCTCGGCTTCGGCTTCTGAGTCTGAGTGGGAGTGAGAGCGCTGGCTTTGTGGTCATCCTGAGGGTTAGGGACACAGCGCTGAAAAGCACCTGCACGTACTCAGTCATTACCGGAGTGGTTACTACTATTTTTATTAAAACAACCTGCAGAGTCCCAGCTGCGCGGCACCATCATCTTGCGGGTTGCTGTGCAAATGTTTCCTGGGAATGAATGAAAACCCAGATCAACCCACAGAGAGGAAAGTCACGGCATCCTGCGCCCTGGCTTCGCAGTGCTGTCTCACGATTCCCTCTCTGAAGGAGGAAGATGCTCAGGGGAAATCACTGCGCCGCACACAGCACCAGAGCTGAGCTGCTCACCCCTGCCTAACAGACGGGGGGTGGAGGCCAAATAGCTGCCTTGTGCTGGAGTTCTCAAGCACTTGGAGCCCTTGAAACGGGGCCTCCAGAACAAAGCAGCTTTGTGTTCCTCGGACCCAAGTAGCCAGCAAGCATGTTTCAAGTATCATTTCAGGGTGGAATCCAAAAAATGTTTAAAAAACCCAAACTCGCTTTTTCTTTGGACTTCTGTTTGCAATCGTCTGAGGCATCTTGACAGGTCCAGGGTGGGAGTTCCGAAATGTCCTGACTCAGTGAATGCTGAGATTAGTAGCTAAACCCGCGTCTCTGCCGAGAAGTGCTATATGTACATTAATCTGCAGGCAGCCTTGTGGAGTTGTGTGATTTCTTTTTTTCCAAGTCTGGGAAACAGGCAGGGGCTGGGTTGCCAGGCTTTAAGCCCAGGCCTCACCAGCCACCAAGTTCTCGGTGGCTCTCGGTGGCCCTCGGTGGCCTCACACACGACTCAGAGGCAGTGAGCACCTCCTATAGGTTCCACTTTTACAGAGGAGGCAGGAAGGCCGTGCTCATGGCACAGGGGTGCAGGGCGCCCACTGGGGTCAAAGGAAACATCCCAAGTTACGGTGCCTAAAACTTGAAATTTAGAGACCACCCGTCTCTGCAGGTGCCAGAAAAATATATCTCCTCATCATTTTTATGTTTTCTTTCTGAATTTTATAAAACCACATGAAGAACTGGAAAATAAAGTAATGTTAAAGTTTGTCTTTGCACTGCTAGCCAGAAAACTAGCAATCTGATAGTGAGTGACTCTCAGAACTAGGAAAGAAATGTTTTGGTGTTTTTGCCTCTCATTCTTTCTGACTCTGCATTTATCTACCTGCCTATCTACAATCTACTTATTTATCATCTATCTATCTGCCATCTATCAGCTATCAATCTTACTTATCACCCACCCCTCCGTCTGTCCACCTGTCTGTCCACCGCGCACGCACATACTGCCCTCCTTTCTGGCTTCCCTGAGGACTCCCTGCAGGTCCTGGGTGAGAGCCAGGAAATGCTCTGCACAGCAGAGGCGCTCAGGGAACACAGGGAGAGCCCTGAGCTCAGACACCAGAACAGGGCAAGGAGGCGGACTTGTAGCGCAGAAGAAGGCCAAGGCAGCACACTACGAGCCGGAAAGGCTGCGGTGGAGGCTGGGTGTCCAGATGCTTCAGAGCTCTCACCGCTGCTCACAGTCAGTGCCTGCGCTGTGCTTTGGGCCTCCCAGCCGGGCGGAAACGCACTCCGTGGAGAAGTCCAGCTTGTGCTCGACCTGCCTGCGGCCTCAGGCCCAGCGTTGGCTAAGAGCTGCCTCACAGAAGAGTCACCCGTCTTCCGGGCCCAGGGCAGCAGTCGTGTTCTGGAACCTCCCATCCCCTCAAGGTAGGTGGATTAGAAACTGCCTCCTTTAATAAGAATTATCACCTCTTCCAGTTTCTGCTCTGCAGACAGGAATGGGTGTAGCAAATGGCACAAAGTATGTGCTCAGCTAACACAGGGCTGAGTGAAAACAATTGACGGGGTCTTTCCCTCGAGTACAGGGCCTGTGCCACCTACTTCTAGGGGCACCATTGGTTTGGCGTGAAAGGCATCCCCTTGAGGTACACACTGGCATGGCATTGCCCCCAAATATCTTTTCTAAAATATTATCCTGGGATTCACACAATTTCTTTAAAAATATGGCTCCATAATGAATGAGTATCCACTGAAAACCAGATGGAAAAGCAATTGCTTTTCTATCCAAGAAGCTTTCAAACAGGAATTAGACACACCCTCCAAGTTTTACTCCCAGATAGATATTTCATGCTCTCATACAACAGTTTATAATGTCTTCTCAGATATCCAAGTACAGACAGCTTATCACTTTATGTAAGACTCTGGATCCTATAGAAGAACACAACATGTTTGGAAGAACAGCAAAATATTTATAAAAAGTCCATGTCGACATATTGACTTTAAATGAAAGAATCCCAGAGTCAAACTGTTCAAGTGCTAAGCCAGCATGTTTCATCTGGGAGTTCTCCGCCAACAGAACTGGACTTTATGCACAGATAAATCAAGGAAACTCAACCAGATCTTTCGACTTGCCTTTTTCCGAGCTGCAGGAATCTAGGTGTGTAACCACAAAGGATCTTAGGCTGAGGCCTTGGCCAAGACACATAAACATTTGTAGACAGACACCCTTCCACGCATGCAAGAGCCCCACAGGCACTCAAATTTTACAGAAGGATTCCTGAGACACGGTCCCCGAAATGCACTTTATGGACCACTTTCATTGGATGAACAGAGGCTAAGCTTTCTTTTTAGGCAAATGAAAGCTGGATGTTAAACAAAAAGGAGGTGGGATTCAAAGTCCCCCGCACCTGCTTCCAGAGTACACAATGTCCGTGTTCTTGAGTGGCTCTGTGTGTGTCAGAGTGAGTTTTCCCGCCAGTTGTTCACTCACCTGGTAATGAGTGTACTAAAATTTCAATGAATATGATTGTTGATTTCCTTTATATTTGTGTCTTGAGGATTCATTTGAAAGAACTGGAAAAATCTGGTAAACCAGCGCAGCATGCAACTCAGTGCAAACTACATTCAGGTCTGAAGCAATCAGGAAGAGGTGCTGCTGATTTGGAAGTTTGATAAAGCAATGGATGTATTTTTTGAACACTAGGCGGGAGTAATGGACATGGAAGACCTTTGTGCCTAGAAAGAGATGCAGCACGGGCAGAATGGAGATTGGCACAGCAAGACGTGGAACAAACGCTGGCCCCACTTCCTCACATAAACTCCGCCAGCAGCAGAGTGGCTGCAGAGGAGCGAACCTGGCTGAGAACCACTTAGGCAAGTTCTTACCCGCTGGCCGGGGGAACCGTCGCGTCCTGGTGAGCCCACACCTCCTGGGACTCCCTAGGCAGAACAGGCAGAAAAGGAAGTCACAAACCTACGAGCGTGCAGGGGACGCTGTGACGGAACTCCGACCTGAAAGTTACACACGGGAAAGGACCCCTGACTCACGAACTCAACTCCTTCCCGAGGGCTGGCTGTAACTCAAGTTGGTCAGTGGAGGCTCAGGCTCCAATCCACAGCCTTCAAAGTCTCAGTCAGATCTCAGTGTGCTTAGAGAGACGCTGCCCTAGGATTTCTCAGTGAACCCCACACAGGAAAGGACACTGCCATGTTCCTTCCTGAACATTTTAAGGATTAAATCTGTATTTGAGACCATGTGGAAGCACAAGTGGCCAGAATTTGGGTCATAACTCAAGACTGTGTTCATAAGTTAAAACTAAAATTCTGGTCAAAATCCAAGTTGTTCATACAACTTGGTTGTAGCTTAAGAGTCCACTGTATTTCCTGTGCAAGCGCACTGGGACCTTGAGCGTGGCTCTCACAAACACAAGCAATGCCAAGGCCACAGCTGACTTCAGAAGCTCTGCCCTCTGTCCTTGGCCAAGCTCAAGAGAGCTGACAACAATCAATGAAAAATGCAAAAATATAGTACCTGTGTCCCCGGAAGGCCGGTGTCCCCTTTCTCTCCCTTCTCGCCTGGCATTCCCTGAATACACAGAAGCAGAGTCAAGTTCACACGAGCAAAGGCTTGGCCCTTCCCCTGCTAGCTTTAGAACACTCTCAGTACTGCACTGCTTCCACAGGAACGTCTAAACAGCACGCTCCACTTCTCACATGCGCTGCGCCTTCTATGTAAACTGAAGATTTAAGAAACAACGAATGGTTTCTAACAAAATACACACTCCTGTGTGGCTGAGCCAACCTGCACATGCACGGAGGAGACAGGTGAATATTACAATAGTACTTGTAGTTTAAACTTTAAAATCTCCCATCTCTATACACAATAGATTTGCTTTGTTTTGGTTTTGGCTAAACTCAAGGATAGAATAAAAGAATAGACATCCAAGCAGTAAGTACCATCCTAGGAGATAGTAAGGCAACAACAAAAATTTGTTAGTAATAGGAGTAACAACACAAACTGACGTGTTAATGGTTTCTAAAATGTGAAAAGCTTTTGCAAGAAAAATCTCGCCAGCAAGGGACTCTCAAGAGTTTGCTAAAACATTAGCTTTCAAGCATCTGGTTACTCCACTTATTAATTGGTGATTGGTTCTATACTTTAGATCTCTCTTACTGAAGACAAATAAATGGAATTAAATGTTTTTAATGGCACAAAACAGCTTTTCAAAAACACGCAGCTGCGTAACATAAACCACGTAAATCAAAGGCTCGCTCAGTGGACTGCACTGAGACTAGCTGAGACAAAGGTCATAAATCAACAGTTTTCATTAATCTTCAGCCATATTACTACAAATCAATAATGAATAATTAAATTCATCATTTATTACTTTCTAATTGTTACCGCATCCATTAAGAATTTGGTCACAAGGCAAGGGCTCTGCGCCTGAAGCCCTGCTCTCTCTGCAGGAAGACTGCCTGGGGTACGCCCACCCCATGCAGGGTGTCAGTGTGTTGCAAAAGCGAAAGTGGGGAGAGCTACTGGTGGACTCCCGTCAGGCCTTGCTTTCAAAGGGATGGGGCAGGAAGGGGGGCAGGCTCACGGCTAGGGCCGAGCAGCCTGTCGTGAAGAGTCGTAACAATACAACCCATCCGAACGTTCACAGCAGACTGTCGTAAAGCATCGAATGCATCCAAACACTCGCGGGTGCTCACCGGCATTCCCTGAATGGACAGGCCACTCGGTCCTTGGGGGCCTGGGGGCCCCTGTGGTCCTGTAGGGCCTAATTCACCCCGAGGGCCCTCTGGTCCCTGGAAGACAAGAGAGAAAAGTCATCATGGAATAGGCCTTCCGACCCCTAAAGGATATCTCTGCTATGGCCCTTAGAATTTATCCACTTACAGAGTGTTTCCCGAGACACGAAACATTCAGAACACCTGGACACCAAACCTGCAGTGATTCACCTCCAGGCCTCGCCAGCATCACAGTGAGCCAGGACCCTAAGCACGCGGGATTCTGCAGCTTATGTTTGGCTTTTGCTTCCACAGATAGGATGCTGGGCCAATTACATAAGTAACCAGACTCCCCACACCCCAGAACAAATTCCAAAGCCAGAGGAAGGGCTGGAAGACCACCCTCCTGGGCTGCGAGGTCTCCACTGTTAACACCACCGTCAGCGCCCGCCCACCAGCACCCTGCCCTGCCCTGGGACTTGGTATCTGGCTCCTTTCCTTCTGCACCTTCATCTCACCTACTCTGCTTCCTCACTGCCCTCCAAGGGACCCTGGATTTCCTTTCTTTCTTTCTTTCTTTTTTTGTTTTTTTTTGTTTTATTTTTAGACAGGGTCTCACTATGTAGTTGAGACTGACCTGGAACTCATTATGTAGCCCAGGCTGGTCTCAAACTCACAGTGATCCTCTTGCCTCAGCCTCCCAAGTGCTGGCATTACAGGAGTGCACCACCACGCCCGGCTTTTATTTCCTTTCTTTTCAAGACCAGACGTGCCTTTCACTTTAGCAAGCTGACCTCTGTATTTAGGCCTTGTCATCATTTAATGAAATTACACCACCTCTGCAATCTTAGACGCAGAAAAACCTATTTATTGCCAATCTCGTCTTCTTCACTGTCATATTGTGATTCCAATGAATGCTTTTCTTTTGTTAAACCAGGATTCTGATACTTTGATATCACCTTGGTTTTTTTTTGGTACTGAGGATCTAACTCAGGACCTTGCGCTTGCGAGGCAGTTGGTGGCACCACTGAGCTAAATCCCCTGCCCTTGCCTGACACATTAAAACTACCTATCAGTGGGGATCTATGTGATACTTTGGTGCATATATAGTTATGTTTTTGTTTTTGTTTTTGTTTTTTTTTGGTACCGGGGATTGAATTTGGGTCCTTGCGCTTGCAAGGCAGGCCACCGAACCGCTGAGCTAAATCCCCGGCCCTATGTATAGGTATGTAATAACTATAACTAGCACAGTTATAATAATGTTCAAATCAAGATAAGAATTTCTATCTCCAAGCATTTCATCCCTTCTTTGTGGTGAAAACAGCTAGCTGCTTTGAAATGTATGGTAATTACTGTTACAAGGTCGCCTACTTCGCCACAGAGCATCAGCAGGCACTGGGTCAGCAGAACAGGAACTTCGTGTACATCGACCAACCCTCCCTACCCTTCGCCCTCCTCTTCCGGCCCCTGGTAACCACTAGTTAATGTCGATGGGAGCACTTTTTCTTGGATTCCCTGTGTGATGAAATCATGTGGTTTTTGTCTTTCTACATCTGACTGATTTCTCATAATGACCTTCAGCCCCATCTGCGTGTCACAGTGAACGATTTCATCTGCTTTATGACTAAATCGTACTCCTTGGAGGACGCCTGCCATGTTTGCTTTGTCCACTAGCCAGTGGATGAACACTTGGGGTTTCCGTTTCGTGGCTCCTGTGACTACCCCTGCAGCGAACATGGGTACAGATGTCTCTTTAATGTCCGAGTTTCGCTTCCTTGCGGTGGGTAATGTGGGCAGGATCTGAGATGTGAGCCTGGTGTGTCTGCGACTTGGGGCAGAAGATATGGAAGAAAAGTCAGCTGGGACAAAGTGCCTAAAAATACTGAGTGCAGGCTGAGTGCGGTCAGGGCCAACCACAGGCACCCATCGAGCGGTCTGGGAGTGGGTGAATTTGGGGCACTGAAGCCATAACCTCCCTCAGTGAGGATGAGTTGCTGGAGCGAAGGGGAAAGTTGACAAGAACCAAATGCAAATCAGGTAGAAAGAAGAGGGAGAGAAAGTGGGGACGAATCCAAGATGAGAAACCTAAACACTGGGAGGAGGCCGAGGAGGAAGTGGGAGAGCAGAGCACAGAGGAGAAAAACACTTCAGAGGAGCAGGGAACAAGCGGGTGATTGGTGCCATGACCGAGAATGCTTTCAGGGAACTTTCCGGGGTCAGAAGTCCTGTGGGTGGAGAGTTAGTGGGAGGAGAGGATCTGGGACCCGAAAGATAAGGACTCTCCCAAGAGGCGGGGCCTTTTATAAAGCCCCCTCCTCTGAGCAAATCGGAACTGCCTTGGGCCGCACATAAAAATGTGGAATACGGTTCTCGAATGTCAGTAAAACAATAAAGAGGGCCAAAAGGCCGGCTGCGGGTTAGACACACCTTAATACTTATAACTTTGTTAATATATTACTACATACGACTGAGGAACAGAAAATAGAACAGGGCAGAAAGTAGGCGGCCCATTTTCTTCTGTACTGAGACAAATGACTAGAAGCCAGCAATGCACCTGACTTGCTCTTCTAAGTCCCTGCTGCACCATAAAAAGGACAGGAATCCGGGCCTTCCTGCCGGGGCCTGGGTCATCCATCCCTACAGCGGAGATCCCGACTTCTCCCTGGGACACTGCAGGTCCCGCAGTGGAGGACCCCAGGGTCAGCTCACTGTCAGGGAGGGGACAGAGTCAGCACCCGAGGGCGTCAGGAAAACCAGGGAGCTGTGCAGGGGTGGGAGGTGGGGCCAGGGAGAGCTGCCAGGCCGCTGGGAACACACCGGGGCCTGGCCCACCGTCATCCCCAGCCCTCCACCGAAGTCTCCTTACCCCGCATTTCCTCCCACATCCACCAGTCATCTGTAATTTTACAGATTTCACAATGCTCGCTCCTCAATGGATAAATGCTATGCAAATGTAATAAGGAGCCACACCGATGCAGCGAACCACACGTGGTGGATGGGAGGGGTCGCGTAGCCTGACAGAGGAAAATGGGAAGGGGCCTTCAGCGCCGCCCCTGCAAGGACTGGCGGTGTATTCTCAAGAGAAGGGCGCGTGCCTGGAGGTTTTCAGAAAGGATGACAGGATCCGGCATGGACAGTAAGGAAATGAGTCCTGGGGCAGATGTAAAGGAGCAGGAAATCGAGCCCCTGGAGACAGAAGATGTGACAAAAGCCAGCGAGAAGAGGGTGGGCCTGAGCTCAATCAGCAGCTGGGCTTCTGCCAGTCCTCAGGAGCCTTTGTGCAAAGTAAAAAAACGTGCAACTCGACAAGGCTTAGTGTGGCCTCCCCTCTGGTCTGGTGCCTTGTGCAGTGCACAACCTGGACCATCATCCTTGGTGGCCTTGGACAGTAAGAACGGAAAATACAGTTGTTTGTCTGATTAGACATAGTGGCAAAGGAGGAAGAAGAATCCAAAATGAGAAATTACCCGGAAGGGACTGATGCTACGTTGTGAGTCTACGTGATTCCTTTTAAGATACACTTTTTATTATAGATAGGGGAAGAGAAGAACGGACCAGAGGCAAAATCACCTTGTGGATTCAACCACTCACAACACTGACACTTATTTCTATTGCAGAAACCTTGCTTTCTCTCAGTTATGAATATTCTTTTTGATTCAAAAGCACAAATCACTGGGCTGGGGAATTCAGCTCAGTGGTGCCGCCGCCTGCCTTGCAAAGGCCAAGTTCCCGAGTTTGATCCCAGGTACAAAAAAAAAAAGCACAAGTCTTTCAAAATAAGGAAAAAGGGTTAGACAGGTGTTTCATAAAAATTCAGGAGCTTCGGATTACAAGGGTAAAGGAAACACTGACGGAGAGAGAGAGTGAGTACCTTTGGGCCCTGTTCACCTTGCTGGCCCTTCGGTCCCCGGAGTCCTGGACCACCCTGGGAAACAGATGTTAAACATTAGCCCAAACACAAATCACAAAACAGTGTATTTCATTCATTTTTCTTAATGCTATAGGATTATGTCATATTATTTAACATAAAGCCCACACGTTGTGTGCTGGTATACCTCCATAATGATCCGTACCTGGAAATCTGCCACCTAGCTCCAGCCTCCCCGGAGATGATTTCATAGTCGGAAAAAACTTTCTATGCCAAATCCTCTTAAATTTTGAAAAATGAGAAGATTTACTCATTTGCTGCTTATATTAGACTACTGTTACTCATGAATAAAAAATATAATAGATATTACTGACCTAAAATGATGTTTTATACCAGAACTTTGAGGTTAAGTTCTTCAATTAAAGTGTTTAAAGCCCATGAAAATAACAGCAATTTAATTTTCTTTGTTTACATAGAAATAGAGATAATTAGACTTGTGTTTCTGAAACTTTAGTTGTTTGTATTTCTCTTCAAGATGTTTAAGCTGTTAATGTACCACCTATGTTATTTAATAGCAGTTTTATATAGCTATATATCTACACTATTATTTAATAGTAGTTTTTATATAGATATATATCTACATACACAGTAATAAATATTTGTATATATTCTTTGTGTATATGTTTGCTATGGGCCTAAACATGTCTGTATTTTAATTACTACAATTAAATCTATTTTAAGAAGCAAGCATGGTAGCATTACAGTAAATAGAAAAAAGTATTGCTTAATAAAAATATCAGGTTACGTTAAAAGTTAATGTGAATGAAATGATGTTAGTAAATCTCAACAGATTTTGCTCCCATTAAGGTCTGGGAGGCATTTGCTCTTTGACCACAGAGGAAGTGACAAGTGTCAGCAGACCATGTGACTCCAACAGACTCTGTCGCTGGATCAGAAGTGAAAGATTCTTTACCATGGGGTCATGTTCTTCCTGTGTCATGCCCATTTACTTCCTGTGCCATGTCTATTTCCTGTGGTGTCCAGATGACCAACCATGATTCTGTGCCACCAGCCAAACACTGTGTCACTCGGGGAAGTTCCCTGTCTGCTTTCTCAACTACTTAAACCTGCTCCCCATCAAGTCGGTGGCTCCTCTAGCAGATTTTTTTGTTCTTTTCTTGAAATGTCTTTTAAAGTACATTTTTATTAGTGCACATTAATTTCATACAGTATCAGGTTCCACTGTGGCAATTTCTTATACACACATGACATACAAAGTTGCATCCATGTATGCACATGGTTATCTACAGAAAACATTGCCTGGAGAATTACTTCAGTATCATTCAATGTGCCATTAAATATGTGATGTGACACTGCTTTACCTAAGTCTGAATTTTTCAACTTAATGTTTTAGAAATGTGCTTGTTTGTTTTAGCGTTTTTTTGCATGTTGATAAATAAAGTGTAACTCATCAACTGTTGCATAACTGGCCAAACCTTAGACATGTGATAGTTTAAACTTTTTTTATTATTTAAATTTTTGGTGGGTTTTTTTGCCCTTGCACAGTATTTTGCCCATTACACAATGTTTCCATTAACATCCTCTCCTGAACCCCTTAAGTAAAAATGCTAGTGTCTCTCAGATACCAAGAAGAATCAGCAAAACCTCTTGGACGTGCAGACGTATTACCGAATAATACTCCGACAGTGGTGGCAGTTTGGGCATCTGCCAACAGTTGAAGAGTGCCCCCGTTTCCCTAATTCTTAATCGACCCCAGATATTAGCAAAATTTGCATTTTATTAGCCTACTTGGTGAAAAATAATACCTTATTCTTAATTTAATTTTCATTTTTCTGAAAACTGCATGATTGCATATCTTTTTATAATTGTTTTCCGTTTTCATTTCACCGTCATTGCGATCAACCATTTATACACTTTACCCAGGTTTTCTTGGGGTGCACATATTTTCTCTTTAGTATGTGGACACTGCATACATCTGAACCTTTAAGGAGTGCCTATGATGTGCACATGTGCGGGCGCACATACACCGATGTACACGTAAGATGCATAGATGTTACAGGTTATAAATGTGACCAATACTGTGCTCCGTGTCATGGGCTATCGGCTGTTTACCCGAGAGCCTTTCCGACCCTCTTCACCCTTCTATGCTCGCTACTGTAGAGATGAGTACAGATACCTGCTTTCCCAGCTTTTCTTTGCCCTGGGAATGGCCACGTCCACCAACTTGGGCCAGTGTGATCAAGGAGCAGCTATCTGAGGAGACCAAGGTGGAGGCCACGAGCTGCCCAGGTCCTGCAGCCCCTCACCTCCGACCTGTCACAAGCGAGGTGACCCTCACTGCCCTCATAGTTTACGCCACTGTGCCAGTCACATGCTCTGGTTCTTGCGGCCCGATGACGTCCCTGCACGCACGCACCTGTCGCAGCTCTTCGACTCTGTAAGCAGCTGAACGGAACTGAAGCTTTCATTAAAACTAGACTGTCTCAGATATTCACACCAGAAGCACCATTTCTGAAAACCAAGGACCATTTTATGCTCCTAATTTATTTTCCACCTTAACCCTAATGCTACTACCTGAGCACGTGACAAGAATTCAACACATACAAATTCATCTGATCTGCAGAACAGAAGCGAAGGAGGAGAAACAGCCCCAAGCACATTCATCCATTTAATCTTAGACAAAGAGGCCAGAAACATACCCTGGAGGAGAGGCAGCCTCTTTAATAGACGCTAGGAAAATCGGATCTCCACGTGCAGAAGGGTGAGTCTAGGCTCCGATCTCACCATGTGCTAAACTAAAGTCAAAATGGGTCAAACATCTAAATGTTAAAACAGAAACACTTAATCTGCTGGAAGATAAAATAGGTACACCTCTTGAGGGACTTTCTGAACAGAACTCCAATGAAACGAGATAATACCAAGAATCAACAAATGGGATTACATCAAATTAAAAAGCTGCACAGCAAGGGAAACGAGAGTGAGGAGGCGACCTACAGAAAGGGAGAAGAAAATTTTGTCAGCTATTCCACGGATGGAGGACTAACATCAAAAATATATAAAGAATTTTTTAAAATTTAGACCTCAAAATAAAGACCCAATCAAAAAATGGGCAACAGAAATGAACAGACACTTCTCAGAAGTACAAATGGCTAACAAAAATATGAAAAATGCTCAGCCTCTCTGCATCAAAGAAATGCAAAGTAAAACTACACTGAGATTCCATCTTACCCCAGAAAGAACTGCTGTCATCAAAAAGTCTAATAATAAATGCTGGTGAGGATGTGGGGAAGGGGGGGAGAAACTCTTCTACACTGTTGGTGGGAATGTAAGCTCATGCGACCACTATGGAAATCAGCAGAGAGTCCTCAAAAAACGAAAACTAGAAATTCCATTTGATTCAACTATACCTCTTCTAGGTATCGTCCCAACAGTTAAAAGCATCATATGACCGAGATACATGTGTACTCATGGTTATAGCAGCATAATTTATAATAGCTAGGTCTTGGAAACAGCACAGATGTCTGTAAATGAATGAGGAAAATGTGGTATTTATATACAACGCAGCATTATACTGCCGTGAAGAAAGATAAACTTGAGGGAGTAAATAAACACAACATGAGACCATAACCCCAAATTATATTTTCTTTGTAATGCTATGTATGAAATGCTTCATAAAAATTATTTACAATATCACATTAAATATGTGCAAGTTATATTTCAACAAAAAACCCTAAGGAAATAAAGCATGCTGTGAGCAACACAGGTCAACTCAGTTCTACCTCCAAAGCCTACTGAGACAGATACATCTAAGAATCTGTGGAATGGAATCAGTAAGGGTCTTCCTGCAGATGTGTGCAGGTTTTCTCGGATGCCACCAGCGGAACATGGGCACCTACGTTGAACAGACTCTCATGGTCTAGTGAACTTCTGAGATCCTGAGGAGAAAATCGTCCTAATAACCGTTGGTTCCACTCTGCCATGTTCTGTCACCCATAACACTGAATATTCATAGTTTTAGGAGCCTAAATACTTCACGATGCCAGGCCAGTGCTGGCCAGACAGTGGGCAGGGACGGTCATCCGGGAGGACACCTCCCACGGCTGTGTTCCTTATCCACACTCCCCCGTCTGTCTGCTGAGGTGAGGTCTGAACGTCCACTTGGACGTGGTGTACAGAAACTGCCACAGATGGTGTATTTACTTTTTATAGTTAACAAAAATGCATGTTTCTGTCTCTTGCTCTCCTTCCTGCCTGCCTGCCTCCCCCCACCCCTGTAGGAAGCTCTGTAGGAGTTTTTGACAGTAGACACTTCATTCTCATACAGCGATGTCCCCTGGCCCACGCCAGCCCCTCCGGTGACACACACCGCACATGCAGAGGTAGGGTTTGCACATCTTACAGAAACAGTCGAGGTACAAAAATTGAAATGTCACACAGAAGAGAAGCCGCAGCTATCCACAGGGAGGTTGGAGCCTACAGCTCCATGAGGGAAAGGGTGACAGTGTGAGCAGCAGCTCAGAGACTTGAATCTGAAGCCCAGCTCCTTCCAGCTGTGTCCTTGAACAAGTGACTCAATATCTCTGGCCTCAGGGTAATTCTAGGCTAAGGGGGTAACAGCCATGCAGTACACTTGTCAGCACATATTATATGCACAAGCGAGTACTACTGATTTTTCTTTCTATTTTTTGAGACTGGGTCTCACTATGTGGTTCATGCTGGCCTTGAACTCACTAAGGAGCCCAGGCTGGCCTCAAACTCCTAGCGATCCTCCTGCCTCAGCCTTGGAGTGCTGGCATTGCAGGCGTGTGCTGTCACCCAGCTACTGACATCATTAGAGAACTTGACGGGTTGAGGAAGGACTTACCGGTGGGCCTGCCGGTCCCAGGGCCACTTCGTTGGCTTCTGAACAGGCGCAGGAATTGGGGAGATCAGGGCAGGACTGGTCATCCCTCTAAGGAGGAAAGGACAGTCAGTGCGGCTGCTAGCAGGCTAGTCTTATAGAGGCTCTCAGACCCAGAGAAAACGGCATACGATGTGTTTAAAGTGTTTCGGTGAGCAGCAGTCTGGAAGGCACTGAGCTTCCACTCCTGCTCACAAAAGCATTTCTGTCACAACAACTGCATGGGTCCCTGTGAACTGCTGACCAACTTCGCTAGGACCGACCTGGGAGGCTGAGTGAAGAAAGAAGCTCAGAAGTGCCTGTGAAAAATTCCTGGCTACTGTTTAATTAATTTTCAGTCACAGTACTCTCTGAACTAATGGTCTGGAAAAACGTGATGTTCCAATCTTTTCTCAGTTTCCAAGAATAAAAGAAAATGTCACGGGAATGCTCTATCAAAACAATCACATCTGTACTAAAACCAAAACGAAGTAAAACAAAATAAAAACCGCTTGGATCTATCAATTCCCCGTAACAATTCCATCAACTGCTTACATTCTGTGGCTGAAATTAAGAAAAACAGTGTTGATCTAAAGCTTTGGCATAGTGGTCATTTTTTCCCCTCAGGGAATTCTGTGGCCATGTGGCGCTGCGAGACACCTACGGCTTCCTCCTGGGAAATTTCTACATCTCCAGGGTCACGGCTTGCATGTAGATGTTCCCCCAGAGCCTCAAGCATTCACAGGTGGGTCACAGGGTGTGACGGTCACCAGCAGACTGACTGGTCTCACTCCCTCCCTCCCTCCCTCTCTCCTCTCTGCCTCCTGCCTGCCCTGCCATGGACTGTTTCTTCTCTGCCATGCTGCCCTGCCTTGAAGTCAGCTGACTGTGGACTGAAAACTCTACAAAGTGTGAGCCAAAATAAACTTGTCCTCTAAGACATCCAGGGACAAAAATGAAAGAAAAAGATGAGAAGGTCTTGGGTCCTTGAGAGAACTGGTGATCTCACTTGTTGACACAGCGTAAGTTCGGAGCATTTCCCCTTCTGATCTCCAACCTACCTGCACTTAAGCATAGTATCAAGGTCCCTGATTTAAGTTCTCACTAGAATTTAACAACTTATTTACTGGAGAAAGAATAAGCGAACTTTCTTCTCCAACACAGGCTCCATGAACGTACTGTCTGCAGTGAACGTTGAACCATGCTGTGTTATCTTGCAGTCAAGCTCTTTAGCCATTGTGAAGGCTGCTCCCCACCTCCTCTGGGTTTAATTCTTAAGACCTGAGCTGACCACATCAGCCAGGCCACAATCTCTGAAGAGCCTAAGAGAGGAGCCCACTTTTACAAATGCAGGCTAACCCTTGCATATAAATAATGAGACAAGTTTCAGTCTTCTAACAGCATCACACAGGTTATGCAGCTATGGCTACAGTCCCAAAACTATGTGCCGGGAGGCCCTGGGTAGCACATTCAACTCAGAGGGACATGGTGAGTGTCTTAAAAATTCAAGGGAAGCGGCAGCAATGTGAGGCCCCCACTGGACTTGGTGTGAACAACTAGCTCAACAGTGTGTGATGCTCTATATTTAGAGCACTCATTGATCAGTAGTCACGCTGATGAAAACCAAGTACCATGGGAAAAAGCAATGTGGAAAAAGAAGTGAGAGAGATGCTTAATCTCATTCCAAGACACAAAAGATACTGCACTGCTCAGTCGGCACACTGATTCCATTAGTAGTAAATCATTGTGGTAATTTAAGAATAAAGGCCAGGTGTGGTGGTGCGCACCCATAACCCCAGCACTCGTGAGGCTGAGGCAGGAGGATTGCTATGAGCTTGAGGCCAGCCTGGAAAACCTAGTGAGACACTGTCTCGAACAACTAAAAAGTAAAATATTAAAAGTTCATTTAAAAAAATCATATGCATCATTTTTAAAAGGATATGGAGTTGTTAGGCAATAAATATTAAGATGTTCCTAAACGGGACTTCAGATATTTTATAATAGGACTTTCTGTCTGGAGGGCTGCCATGCAAATCCAAGGCCCTACGGCTTCTAGCAAGCGGGGTCACCTGGGTGATCCGTCCACACCACTAGCAGCTGTGCAGACCATGTCAGGTGTGAGCCGCGGGGTGGTCACACTGATTTCTGTCCCCATCTTAGCCCCTCCCTGATTTTCATTATCAGCACCACGAGTAGTTTCTTACATAAACACTGAGAAATAGCTTACTATCTTCAGAGAAAATTGACTGTAATTTTTTTTTTAAACTCTGGAGACAAAAGAAGAGTCCTTACCAGGCCTGGAAGCTCGCAGCATGTGTCTCTGTTGGCCCAGGATGTGGAGCAAAGGATGTCAAACATCTGCAACTGGAACTAGAGTTTGAAAAGGAAAAGCAGTGCTCAGTTGGGGATGGTTGTGTACGGTCACAATGATTCTGACTGGGCAGCGCCCCGCACTACATGAGACCCACACATCGCCCATGTAACGTTATAAACATATTAAAAATAAATCCAGCGAGGGCCGGGGACGTAGCTCAGCAGCACTGCTCCTGACTCGCAAGTGCAAGGTCCTGAGTTTGACCCCTGGTACCAAAAAAAAAAAAAAAAAAAATTCAAACAACATATCACTA